AGGGTGCTGTGCAGGGTGCTGCCCAGACTGCGGTGGCGAAGTCTGGCACAGGTGCTGTGCAGGGTGGTGTGCAGGGTGCTGTCCAGACTGCGGTGGCGAAGTCTGGCAAAGGTGCTGTGCAGGGTGCTGTGCAGGGTGCTGTCCAGACTGCGGTGGCGAAGTCTGGCCAAGGTGCTGTGCAGGGTGCTGTTCAGGGTGCTGTTCAGACTGCAGTGGCGAAGTCTGGCAAAGGTGCTGTGCAGGGTGCTGTGCAGGGTGCTGTCCAGACTGCGGTGGCGAAGTCTGGCAAAGGTGCTGTGCAGGGTGCTGTGCAGGGTGCTGTGCAGAGTGCTGTTCAGATTGCAGTGGCGAAGTCGGTGCTTTGCAGGGTGCTGTGCAGGGTGCTGTGCAGGGTGCTGTCCAGACTGCGGTGGCGAAGCCTGGCAAAGGTGCTGTGCAGGGTGTTGTGCAGGGTGCTGTGCAGGGTGCTGTGCAGGGTACTGTGCAGCTGTGCAGGGTGCTGTGCAGGGTGCTGTCCAGATTGCGGTGGCGAAGTCTGGCAAAGGTGCTGTGCAGGGGGCTGTGCACGCTGCTATCCAGACTGTGGTGGCGAAGTCTCGCAAAGGTGCTGTGCAGGGCGCTGTGAGGGGTGCTGTGAAAGGTGCTGTGCAGGGTGCTGTGCAGGGTGCTGTGCAGGGTGCTGTGCAGGGTGCTGTGCAGGGTGCTGTGCAGCGTGCTGTGCAGCGTGCTGTGCTTTGCTTCCCACGTTGATGGTTCCAACCTTTAGGAACTGGAAGTTCTTTGCAATGGTAACCTATGGTTCCCAGGTTGGGAAGCATGAGTTCCAACCTCTGGTAACCGGCAGTTTCTTGCAATGGTAACCCATGGTTCCCAGGTCGGGAACCAGGAGTTCCAACCTCTGGGAACCGGCAGTTCCTTGCAATGGTAACCTGTGGTTCCCACGTTGGCAACAGTGAGTTCCAACCTTTGGAAACCGGCAGTTCCTTGCCATGAACCAAACGCAAACATTCTGGTACCGGTCCATTAAGCAAAACAAAGCGTTCTTTACCGGTCCATTAAGCAAAACCATAAAGTTGTAAAGAAACTGTTTTCATATCATTTTAACATGCAGCTTTTTCGTGCAAAAACATTTTTATGCCGGCCCAACAGCCAAACGCAAACATTCCGCTACCGGTCCATTAAGCAAAACAAAAGGTTCTGTTACCGGCTCAGTAAACAAAACAAAACAACATTAAGAACCATGAGTTCTAACGTTTTGCAATCAACAGATCCTTCCACTGGTAACGTTACTTTTTCAGGCTTGGAACCATGAGTTTCAAGCTTTGGGAACCCGCAGTTCCTTACAATGATAGTTGCTCAGCTTCGAAAACATAAATTCTAACTTCTGGGAACCGGCAATTCCTTGCAATGGTAACCTCTGGTTCCCAGGTTGGGAACCTTAAGTTTCAAGGTCTGGGAACCGGCAGTTCCTTGCCATGGTAACCTTTGGTTCCCACGTTGGGAACCATCAGTTCCAACCTTTAGAAACCGGAAGTTTTTTGCAATGGTAGCCTATGGTTCCCAGGTTGGGAAGCATGAGTTCCAACCTCTGGTAACCGGCAGTTGCTTGCAATGGTAACCCATGGTTCCCAGGTTGGGAACCAGGAGTTCCTTGCAATGGTAACCTGTGGTTCCCACGTTGGCAACCGTGAGTTCCAACCTTTGGAAACCGGCAGTTCCTTGCCATGAACCAAACGCAAACATTCCGGTACCTGTCCACCAAGCAAAACAAAGCGTTCTGTACCGGTCCATTAAGCAAAACCATAAAATTGTAAAGAGAACTGTTTTCATATCATTACCGGCTCAGTAAACAAAACAAAACAACATTAAGAACCATGAGTTCTAACTTTTTGCAATCAACAGATCCTTCCACTGGTAACGTTACTTTTTCAGGCTTGGAACCATGAGTTTCAAACTTTGGGAACACGCAGTTCCTTACAATGAAAGCCGCGTAGCTTCGAAAACATAAATTCTAACTTCTGGGAACCGGCAATTCCTTGCAATGGCAACCTGGTTCCCAGGTTGGGAACCGTAAGTTTCAAGGTCTGGGAACCGGCAGTTCCTTGCCATGGTAACCCGTGGATCCCACGTTGGGAACAATCAGTTCCAACCTTTAGGAACTGGAAGTTCTTTGCAATTGTAACCTGTGGTTCCCAGGTGGGAACCGGCAGTTGCTTGCAATGGTAACCCATGGTTCCCAGGTTGGAACCATGCGTTCCAACCTCTGGGAACCGGCAGTTCCTTGCAATGGTAGCCTGTGGTTCCCACGTTGGCAACAGTGAGTTCCAACCTTTGGGAACCGGCAGTTCCTTGCCATGAACCAAACGCAAACATTCCGGTACCGGTCCATTAAGCAAAACAAAGCGTTCTGTACCGGTCCATTAAGCAAAACCATAAAGTTGTAAAGAAACTGTTTTCATATCATTTTGACATGCACCTTTTTCGTGCAAAACATTTTTATGCCGGCCCAGCAGCCGAACGCAAACATTCCGCTACCGGTCCATTAAGCAAAACAAAAGGTTCTGTTACCGGCTCAGTAAACAAAACAAAACAACATTAAGAACCATGAGTTCTAACTTTTTGCAATCAACAGATCCTTCCACTGGTAACGTTACTTTTTCAGGCTTGGAACCATGAGTTTCAAGCTTTGGGAACCCGCAGTTCCTTACAATGATAGTTGCTCAGCTTCGAAAACATAAATTCTAACTTCTGGGAACCGGCAATTCCTTGCAATGGTAACCTCTGGTTCCCAGGTTGGGAACCCTAAGTTTCAAGGTCTGGGAACCGGCAGTTCCTTGCCATGGTAACCTTTGGTTCCCACATTGGGAACCGTCAGTTCCAACCTTTAGGAACTGGAAGTTCTTTGCAATGGTAACCTATGGTTCCCAGGTTGGGAAGCATGAGTTCCAACCCCTGGGAACCGGCAGTTGCTTGCAATGGTAACGTCTGGTTCCCAGGTTGGGAACCAGGAGTCCCAACCTCTGGGAACCGGCTGTTCCTTGCAATGGTAACCTGCGGTTCCCACGTTGGCAACAGTGAGTTCCAACCTTTGGGAACCAGCAGTTCCTTGCCATGAACCAAACGCAAACATTCCGGTACCGGTCCATTAAGCAAAACAAAGCGTTCTGTACCGGTCCATTAAGCAAAACCATAAAATTGTAAAGAAACTGTTTTCATATCATTTTGACGTGCACCTTTTTCGTGCAAAAACATTTTTAAGCCGGCCCAACAGCCAAACGCAAACATTCTGCTACCGGTCCATTAAGCAAAACAAAAGGTTCTGTTACCGGCTCAGTAAACAAAACAAAACAACATTAAGAACCATGAGTTCTAACTTTTTGCAATCAACAGATCCTTCCACTGGTAACGTTACTTTTTCAGGCTTGGAACCATGAGTTTCAAGCTTTGGGAACCCGCAGTTCCTTACAATGATAGCCGCTTAGCTTCGAAAACATAAATTCTAACTTCTGGGAACCGGCAATTCCTTGCAATGGTAACCTCTGGTTCCCAGGTTG